TTGTGGAGAAGGTAGAGAGTCCCCTAAGACAGAGGATTGTGGAGAAGGTAGTGAGTCCCCTAAGACAGTGGGTTGTGGAGAAGGTAGAGAGTCCCCTAAGACAGAGGAATGTGGAGAAGGTAGAGAGTCCCCTAAGACAGAGGATTGTGGAGAAGGTAGAGAGTCCCCTAAGGCAGAGGATTGTGGAGAAGGTAGAGAGTCCCCTAAGTCAGCGGGTTGTGGAGAAGGTAGTGAGTCCCCTAAGACAGCGGGTTGTGGAGAAGGTAGAGAGTCCCCTAACGCTGGGGGTGATGAGAGAAGCAAAGGAGGGAGAGTTAGGAGGACTGAGGAGCACGGAGGAGGAGGAGGAGCCTCTGCTGCTCGGAGCTCTGAAGGGAACGCCACTGCTGTATAGATCTAGGAGACCAGGAGGCTCTGCTGCCAGAGAAGACATCTGTCTTGCGCAGGGCATGCCAAGAAAAGCTGGGAGTCCTGGCTGAGGGGCAGGATGAGAAGAAAGCCTTTCTTCGGTCCTCCTGGCATCTCCCCTACATACAGGAAGGATGGTAGAAAAGCAGTCTGCATATAGACTCGGACACAGTCTTAGAATTACAGAGTACGCCATTGAAGGGCTGGCCTGGAGCTGAGAGAAAATGGAATTGACGGGACGAGCAGGACACAGGGCCAGGAGCCCAGTGTGGAAACCCTCTGGCTCACTCTCTGAAGCTCATCATGGCAGTGAACTCTAAGTGAGGTCATTTCACTTGCCTGGCCTGCCAAGAATCTGCCAGTAATCGGTGAACCCTGAATGGGTGAATCCTGAATGATTGAGAGGTGGTAATTGGGTGTGATAGGAAATTAGTTTTTTTTTGAGCTCCTGGGGCTGCAAGGCTTACAGTGGCCCAAATTCCCAGTGGTCACTTTGGATTATTGGCCAAGAGCAGATCAGTGACCCTGTTGCCTCTGAAGCTCCCAGGAATGCTCACTTAGTGGAGGACATGCCGGGCAATCTGGAGATTGTCTCCCCCACCAAAAAGGAAGTGTCTACTAAATGGTACTCTCTTCCTTTGAAATGCTAATATTTTCGATTGTACATGTATATATTTATGCTACAGTATGATTGATTAAAATGATGTATATACTGTGGATTGGCTGTCAAGTTTAATACATGGATCCAGTCCGACACACTGTTTTTTAACTATAGCCAACATGGGGTACGCTGGGCTGCTTGGTCATAGTCCTCTTGTCTAATGGGATCCTTTGGCCACCATCTCCCCAGTCCCCAGCTGTTACCTCAAGGGGGTAATTTTGAGAACTCTTGTATGCTGTGACTTGGACAGTTGCAAGTGATAATTAACCACAACCCTGTTTTACAGGGAGTTACACTGTAGATGGGAACTGTGCCTCTGGCTTCCAAAAAGCTCCCGCTGTAGATGAACTGCGTTTGTTAGGTAAAGAATAGTGTTCAAGGAGGACTATTGCCCCAAGTCCGCCCAGCCCTGCTCTGCACATTGGAATACTTCAGAGCTGCCTTTGTTTGGGGGCTCTAAGACTGGCCTCCCAGGATTCGTGTTTTCAACCTTGATGAACTCTTTAACGGACTGCTATTCCCGACTTGAATGAACTCTTTCCTATACACAGGGAAGGTTTTTTGTTTGCATAGTTCCTGCCTCTGGTGTTTATAGTTAGGCCAGCCGCTGCTTTGACGGCTCTTCTGTGGCCTTTCACGCTCTCCTGAAACACTCTTAAGCACAGTGAGATTCGAATACTTTATTGTTTATGTGAGATGGACTGCAGCTTTCTGGAGACGCTGACTGCCTCTGTTTGCCTACAGGCTACCCTCTCCACGCCCCCGAAGCCTACTTTCCCTATTTCAAAAAGAACAACGTGACTGCAATCGTGAGATTGAACAAAAAGATTTACGAGGCGAAGCGCTTCACGGACGCCGGCTTTGAGCACTACGACCTGTTCTTCATAGACGGCAGCACCCCCAGCGACAACATCGTGCGGAGGTTCCTGAACATCTGTGAGAACACGGAAGGGGCCATCGCGGTCCACTGCAAAGGTGTGCTCCAGGTCTCGGGGGCCAGCTGTACTTGGACAGGGCGAGCCCGAACGCCCCCTGATAATGATGAGCGAGACCTGCTGGTGATGGAAAACAGTCGGGGGTTTCTCTTTTGTATTAGACAGTTGGAACATGAGCCGATTTTTCATAATCCCTTCCTAAAGGAGGGATTAATCTAATCACCTTGGCGTGGCCCGGCTTTCTTGGCAAGTCAGAGCGTGTACTTTCAACATTTCTAAGCCCAGGCTCATTGACTGAGCATCATAAGCAGGGGCCGGGTAACAGGGGTGTCCCTAGGCTGGAAAGAGCATCTTTCCACAGGGAACTGTGCCAAGAGGTGAACGTTGCTGGTTCCCTTATCCCCTTTCCCTTCAGAATTATCTTTTCTCCATATTCTCTCACTATCTAACATTTAGCGCTTCCATGTTGGAGCGTGTGTGTGTGTGTGTGTGTGTGTGTGTGTGTGTGTGTGTGTGTTCACACGTGTGTAGGCCAGAGTTTGACGACAGGTGTGGTTTCCTCAGTACCCCCCCCCCCAACTTTGTTTTCTTCTTTTTGAGACAGGGTCTCTCACTGAACTAGGAGCCTGCCTTCTTGGTTACACGGACTGGCCAGTGAGCGCCAGGGACTCTCTTGTCTCCACGGTGCCTCTGGAATGGGCGCTTTGAGGCAGGGGTTGTTCAGAGAATAGCAAGTGTAGGCCTCAGTTTTAACAACTCAAAATGCAGGATTCCCAGTTCAACTTGAGAGTTGATGTAAAAAGCAGTAAACGTCAACAGCAGCTCAGAGGCCACTGCGGGTCTTCCAGGTTGGTGGTCTCAAGATTCCAGCAGAAACCAATCACTCCTGGGAACCGGAGCCTCTAAGTCCGCAGCTCTTCACAGTGCCACGAGGTGGCGCTGCTCACATGGCTTTGTGTCCACAAAGGTTTTTTTTTTTTTTTTTTTTTTTTG